AGGAGGAGGAGGCAGGATGACGGCCTTGTACATCTCTAGCTTCGTGCTTAGTTGAAGACCGTGACGATTCCAAACTGTGCTTTGGAGGCGACCGAAGGGTTTACTGGCTTCCGAGATCCTGTTGGCGACTTCGTCATCGATCTTGGTTTTGCGGGAGATAGTAATACCCAGGTACGGGAAGTTCTACACCTCATGCAGTTGGGTTCAATTCACGCTGGTTTGCGGCTCGTTGAGGGGTTTGGCTGAGTTAAGTGTTGGTTGATGCATCACCACCGTCTTCTGCGTGTTGATGACCAGACCAAAGTTCTCGCAGGCGGCGGAGAACAGGTCCATGCTCCGTTGTATCTCCTCTTCCGAGGTGGTGTTCAGGACGCAGTCGACGGCGAAGAGGAGTTCGTGCACGGTGGTTGTGGATACGCGCGATTGGAAGTGCATCCGTCGTTGATTCAGCAGGTGACCGTCCATCCTGTGGGCGATGCGGATCCCGGGTTGCTCATCACGATAGGCGTACAGCAGAGCCTCGTCTCGACGATGCCGGCGCAGTGTTTCATCCGACCAAACATCCAGCGGAGTCCGCAGTACACTGTGCACGCGGCACAAGCGCACAGCGCCCTCACCTGGTTTAGCCCGCCGGTCGAGGCGGTTGCCCAGGGTGTGGCCGCTGAGCAGAGCCCAGCTACGTGGAGCCACAGGTGAGAGTTGGGTGCCAGCAAATGGACGCTAGGCGTAGTCTCACCTGCACGCAAGTGAGCGACCACTACGACCTTCACGTGAACCCACCGCTGGACACCCCTACACCCCCACTACACACACACACACACACACACACACACACACACACACACACGACAGTTCGACCGTCGATTTCGACGATGTCCACCGTGTGCCCCACACCAGGTGGGAGCAGGGACGGTGACTTGCGCAGGGGTTTATAGTGCCGGTAGACTTGCGCTGCATCTACCTACACTCTCTCCTCCTCCCCCGCCTGGGCCCGGTGTCAAGACAGAGTCAAGAAGACCGGAGACGAGGGAGGCCGCAGGTGGATGGCTCGGACGGATCCTCACCTTGGCGTTCCACCACACCCCCTGGTCCACACAACAATAACCAGGATTTCAACCAACACCACAGAGATTTGGAGGCTGGCACGGCCGAAGCCGCACCTGGGCGTGCCGCCAACGCCTGGCTCGGATCCCACACTGTGGTGGTAATGCCATAAAGGCCACATTAAAAAGGAGCCATTGCAGCCTGACTCTCAGACCGCCTCCCGTTAAGGAGGAGGTCCAAGGTATCCCGTCAGTTGGCAACCTTCCAAGCCACGGCTTTTAGCGCACCGTGATAGCTTCAAGCGCGTCAGATTGATTATAGTGAGGACAGTGGTTGGGGTGTGGGAATGGGAAGGGAGGTCCTCACACACACACACACACACACACACACACGACAGTTCGACCGTCGATTTCGACGATGGCCACCGTGTGCCCCACAGCTGCAGCAGCGGTGGGAACAGGGACGGTGACTTACGCAGTGGTTTATAGTGCCAGTAGACTTGCGCTGCATCTACCTACACTCTCTCCTCCTCCCCCGCCTGGGTCCGGTGTCAAGACAGAGTCAAGAAGACCGGAGACGAGGGAGGCCGCAGGTGGATGGCTCGGACGGATCCTCACTTTGGCGTTCCACCACACCCCCTGGTCCACACTACAATAACCAGGATTTCAACCAACACAACAGAGATTTGGAGGCTGGCACGGCCGAAGCCGCACCTGGGCGTGCCGCCAACGCCTGGCTCGGATCCCACACTGTGGTAGGAATGCCATAACGGCCACATTAAAAAGAAGCCATTGCAACCTGACTCTCAGACCCCCACCAGTCGAGGAGGAGGTCCATGTTATCCCGTCAGTTGACAACCTTCCAAGCCACGGCTTTTACTGCACCGTGATAGCTTCAAGCGCGTCAGATTGTGTATAGTGAGGAAAGTGTGTTGAGTCGTCGACCTCACTCTCCCTTCCCATTCCCATACCCCAGCCACTGTCCGAGCCGGTCAGCAGACTGGAGTGGGGAATGGACGCGGTGGCTGTCATGGTCGACTGACCATGCCTGCGCGCGCCACAGCACGGCCTGGCCCCCCATACACACACAAACACCAGGATTTCACACAACGGGGGTTGAACGGCGTGTCTCTCACTTGCGTGAGAGGGCCGTAGAAGGTGCTGTTTCAACCCGTCCCCAGCCCACCAGTCCGCCATTCTACACAACACATAAAACTGGACGAACTGCGTGGACGGAATGGGAGTGTCAATCTGCAGCCTTCTTATCCACGACGCTTGACGTGTCGGTATAGTCTCAGACTCGAGTCGACCGTGCAGCCGAAGCCGCATGGCGACCGAGTCGAGATGCACACTTCTGACTTGCGTGGGATGCGGCAGTTGTATGCATGCCGAGGGTGACTGTTGATATGTGGTGGGGTGGTTGTGGTGGTGGAGGCAGGGAGGAAGGATGTGATGTTGTGGTGTAACCGGTCGTTTTCAACCGTGGGTAGTCGTGGATTCGCATGTGTCCGAATAGACCTATGCGATGCGTAAAAGTGCGAGGACAGTGTGGGTAGTTGAGTCACACGTGGTGGGTATAGGTTGGTGTTCCAGACACTGGTTTGCCAGCCTCTGTGCGATGGATTCGCAAGTGACCGACCAGGGCGATATGTGAGGTGAAGTTGCGGTTGCAGTGAGGGCAGGTGTAGTCCTGGTCCTGATCGCATGTCGTCTGTTGTTGTGTCAGGGATGTGTGTGGTGTTCGTGTTAGTAACAGCCGATAGAGCGTCTGTCGTCGGGGCAGTGGGGAAGGATGATGAGGAGCCGGATGAGGAGAAGTAGGAGAAGGAGGAGGCGGAGGAGAGGAGGAGGAGGAGGAGGACGAAGAAGAAGAAGTAGAAGAAGAAGAAGAATGTAGTGGTGGCTCAGGAAGGCGATTCACGAGTGAGATGGGGTGAGAAGCGAGGGTTGGTGCTGCAGTTGAACCTGGGGTGTTAAAAAAGTCCAGTTTGCGTCCGGGATTCCCCCTGACATTTTGGAGGTGATTGGGCGTTGGCGGCGGGAGCGGCAGTCGAGATTTGTTTGTCTCGCGTCTGGATTCGGCGGCGACGATTTGAATAAGATTGTTGCTCTTCTCCACGTTAATCTATCCCGGTCGGAGTGTCCCTGGTGTTTTTATCGCCGGACTTGACCTCCTTGTCAGCGTGGTCTTGTCGCGACATTTCCAGAGATGTATCTTTTGGGTGGCCTGTCATCGTCCATCCGTACTATTTGGCCGCATCGTGTGGATGCTAAGTATCCCCATCCGGTCCAGTACGTCCGTGCCTGGGATCCCATCCTGCCGCCTCAGATTCAGTACCTGTCGAAGACGGCTTAGATGGGAATGATAGAGTCTGCGTGCCTGCTTCATGTACACAGTCTAGGTCTCCGCTCCATGTATCAACGTCGACAGAATGACTGCCTAGCGCATCTCTAGTTTCGAGGCTGATGTGAAGCCCGTAACGATTCCAAGCTGCATTTTTAGGACTAACTTGCAAAAGCGGCGGGCCACTTCATCGTCGATTTTGATGCCGCAGGATAGGGTGCTGCCCACATACATGAAGTTGTCCACCACATGCATTTGGGTTCCGCTCACGCTGGTCTCACCTCCGAACGAGGAAAATGTCTAGGATGCACCAAGGCCATGACCGAGTAAGTATCATATTGGCCTTCTTTCGCGTCGCGAGACGGGCGGATATGTTCGTCAGGATGAGGCTGTGTTCCGCACAGGTTGTTAGGAAGAGCAGTTCGTTGTCGTTAAAGCTATCGAGACGACGGGGACCCAGAATTCATCTCCAGGCAGCATGGTCTGCGCCGATATGAGCGATAAACTCACCAAGGTCAAGTCACCAAGTTGTCGGCTCAGACGCCAGGAGTGCGTGCAGTTCCGCGTAGAATATGCTTCTCGTCTCGGCGGGAATGCTAATCGGCGGAGCGAAGATATTGACAAGGATGGTAATTTATCCACCCCAGAGAGGAAAGCGGAGGCTCATCAGGCGATGGTTGATGCCCTGCGGCAGAAAGGTCGGTCGTCCGACGATGTCGTTCCGAATGGCGAAGGTGACACCCGCGTCTCATCGCTTTGCCCTAAGGCGACCGCTCCAAAAAAGGTGTAGCCAGCACCCACGTACTCCGGATGATGTTGACGAATTTGCCCCCACGCCGGAGAGTTAGATGGAGGCTCATCAGCCACGGATTTTAGTGCACTATTATAGCCTCATATAGTTTATAGTGAAGAAGAAAATGCGCTGAGTCATAGACCTCACTCTCCCTTCACATTCTCAGGCCGCAGCTACTCTCCGAGTTGGTGAGTTGACTGGAGTGCAGAATGGGCGCGATTGTTGACAGGGTCTAGTGAACGTGTATACGCGCGCCACATGCACGACCTGGCTCCTCAAACACAAGCAACATGATTACACAAAACTTGCGTTGGGCAGCGTTCATCTGACATGCGTGAGTATGTCGTGAACACGCTGAGAAGGAGTTGTTTCAGTCTGACTCTCCTAGTGGACGGTGGTTTTGGAGGAACGCGATTATATTTGCATCTTCATGTGGTTAAACAGTTTGCTCACAGTTCTGTATGCGACGCGGATCCCGATGTGCTTATCGACGAACAGATGTTCATGGATGGTGAATGTGGATACACGCGACCGGAAGTGCATCAGTCTGTGGTTAAGGACGTGGCCAGCCGTCCCATAGGCGAGGCGGATCTCGGGGCGTTCTTCGCATTAAGCGTCCATCAGCATGGAGGGAACTTAAGACTGAAGAGGGTAGGCGCGAAGACGCAGTCGTGTTTTACGTCGTTAATCACTGAAAATTCTCCGAGACAGCTCCATAATCCGTAATGCGTGCCATCATGCCATCATGGAGCTGATGCACCCTCTGACCGAATCGTCCCGGACAGCCAAATCACCGCATGATTTTCCACATTTCGTTACAATTCACTCTGTCGAAGGCATTCGTCAGATCCACGAAAGTAAAGTGCAATTGGGTCCACATCTCCTGACACTATTCCTGCAGCTGGTGGGTGGCGAAGATCCTGTCCATGGTGCTACGATAACGGCGAAAGCCGCACTGACTATTCGCCAGAAGACCTTAATCCAAGTGATTGTTCAGGCGGTTGAGAAGAATGTGAGCTAATATCTTACCGGCAATAATCAGCAGGAAGATGCCTCGGTTGTTGTCGCAAAGCTGGCGGTTTCCAATCCGTTTGTATAGGTGGATGATGGTGGCGAGCTTGAAATACTGCGGGACTTCTACTTAGCGCCACATGTCCTGGAACATTGCCGGCAGATGCTCCATGAATTGGGGGCAATCGTGCGTGTAGACCTCCGCAGAGCGCTGGAGAGATGCTGCACGGTCCTGATAGTCTCGTGGAGGGAGAGTGGGAGGTGAAGATTGGCGTTGGTCTTCAATTGGGACGGGCGGGCGATGGCGGTGTCGGAGATGTTGGAGGGGCGATTGAGAACGTCTCTAAATTGTTCGGTCCATCGCTGCAAAATTTGTCTTCTCGGTGAGCGTGGTTATTCAGTCGGCGCCGAGGAAAGGTGCAGTATCTTTGGCGGGCGGACATTAGAGAAATTTGATCGAAAAGAAGTTCTTCCATTCTTTGTCATCCGCGTACCCTTGGATCTCCTTAGCCTCGTGGGCCGTCCGTGCGTTCTTCATCTCGCGCAGACGCTGTCACACAAGGCGGCGGCAACGGTAGAATGCTGCTTTGTTGTCGTCTTCGTCGGTGGGGTGGTCTATGTAGGTTTTTAGCAAGCAGTCCTTCTCGGAGAGTAGTTGTAGATGGCGGGATGCGCGACCGAGGACGGCCAGCGCCTGCGACTGGATTGTGTCCCAACAGTTCTCCATGGAGCCGTTATCCTCAGCGGCGGCAGCGGCGGCTGCATTGGCGATTGGTAAGTTGTCTAGCCGTTGAGCTAGCTCATTGCTGAAATGGAGATGGTGAGCGGGCAAAGACAACTGGGCTATATTCAGCTTACCTGGGGTCGTTTACCTGGACATCTCCTGTCATGACAACAATTCCACAACACCATCTGGATCACCTGTGGCTACACTGAGCTTTGGCGAAGGGCTAACGTAATTCAGGGCGCCAACCGCTGTGAGACTGAAGAGAAGATCGAGCAGATTGTGCGCCATCCTCTTCTTTCACGGGAATTGAAGCCTCACCCCGCTAACACACAACACCAGCACGCCTGCAATCTTCACGCACGAAACCCCACCCAGCCAGCTCCCTCCCTCCCCCCGCATCGGATCAGTAGATTTCAGTGCAAATCGGTGCACCTAGAGTGGCGTGATCTGCTCGCGTCTGTCACTTGGTTTGTGAATAATGATGACAGGAGCCCTAATGCAATGAGTGTAACATTCGTAGGACGTAACACAGAGATGCAGGTCCACAACCAGCTCGCGGAGAATTTACCTGACATATAAATTTTGTGCTATAACTGAAGTTAAAACCACTGTATAGTCCTAAATTGCCTATCTGTCATATCCGAGAGCGTATTCAGTTTACAGAATATATTTCCTAACGTCCCACGCATCCACGTTGATTGAATTGTTACACCTCGGTGCCACGGTGGGACTGGAACCCATGGCAGGAAGGGTTTAACTATGTCAAGTAATCCATATCTCCTTATTTTGACTGGCAGGCGAGCCTATTGCAGCTTGGCCAACTATTTCGATATTGCCGTATTAAACTCCAGTACACAGGCGAGTCATTTTGACACGCATATTAAATACTCGGAGCCTCGGTGGGGTATGAACCCACTGCAGCAAGAGTTAGCCTTAGTACAGCCAACGCTCTAGCCAACAGAGCTAAGAGGCTCCACCGGACGACGCTGCATTAATCGTATCTGTCATAATACCTATGAATAACCTATATGAATAGCGTTGAATACCTATATGAATTACTCGTAGCCATCTGGTGGATTCTAGATGTATTATTTAGGACATCCTGCCTAGGCAGTCAAATTACTGTGTCAGATTTGGTGGATTCCACAGGTTGCAGTAAGTTGGGCGGGAAACTCGCGTCGTCCGGCGGGGCCTCGTAGTTCAGGTGGTTAGAGCGTTGTCTGTACTGACGCCTCACCCTTACTGCGTGGGTTCGAATCCCACCGAGGCGCCGAGTTTTTCACAGTTGGGTAAATATGGATTATTCAAAGTCTGCCAAAATATCAATGAATATATTTCCTAAAGACTCACACATCCACCTCGATCGAACTGCAAAAACTCGGTGCCACCGTGGGATATGAAGCCAAGACGGCAATGGTTTAACTATGTCAAGTAATCCATATCTCCTTATGTTGATTCGCAAGGCGAGCCTATTGCAGCTTGGCTTACTATTGTCGATATCTCCGTATTAAACTCAAGTACACAGACCAGTTATCTTGATACCGATATGAAATACTCGACGTCTCGATGGGGTCTGAACGCACGACAGCATGGGGAAGCCTTAGTTCAGCCAAAGGTCTAGTCACCTGTGCTAAGAGGCTCCACCGGACTAGGCTACAAGTGTCGTATCTGCCAAACTACCTATGAATTACGTGAGTTTCGTAGCCATCAGGTGGATTATAGATGTTTTACTTAGGAAATCTTGCCTAGACATTTAGCTTACTGTATCAGATTAGGTGGATTCCAAACGTTGTTGTAGATCGAACGGGTAAACTTGATTTAGATGTGATTAAACTCGCGTCGTCCGGTGGGGCCTCGTATCTCAGGTGGCTAGACCGTTGGATGTACGTAAGCCTCTCTTTGCCGTTTTGAGTACGAATCCCACCAATTAGGCTTAGGAGCAACTTCGGAGACTGAACCCACTTTGCTGAAAATTTTGAACATATGATTTCAAAATAAAGCGAATATCCTCTCTCCTCTCTCTCAATTTCTCAGAAGTAAAGCATTCTTGGCAGTGTCATTTTTATTTGAGGAGAATCATTCGATCGGTGAAGTGAAAATAATGTTCACTTGAGTTTCGGGATACCTTTCTGATCAAGGACAGCAACATATTGAATTTGTGGACGTACAGCGGTTGCAATTTTTATAAGCTGCAATTCCTATACTATCATGCGCATGTTTATAATGATAACGCCCACATTCACTGTAGCTTTTCGTGATTCTTTTGACGATTTCCTGAGTAGATATGTTTAAATTGTGACTGTCCGCGATCTAGCTGTTTTTTTAAATAGTAACATAATCCTTGGTTCGAAAAACTGACTTTGGCGATTCTATGACTTTGGAAACTGAAATTTTTGTTAGAAACACGGTCTGCCTGCAGACTGAAGTCGACACAATGTTTAAATTTGCTGATTGCCCCTTTGCAATTAATGCCTAACAGACTCCGATCAGATCAGATTGGTAAAGTTGAAATATCCGGGTTGATTATTTGAGGAAGAAGAAGATGGGCTCACCGAAACAGGTTTATTAAAATGCTGACATTTCCAGGAACTTAGTCGGCTTTCTTTTTTCAAAGCGTACAATGCACTTAATCGACCAGAAATCCCAAGTTGCGTCTCACATTGGAGGCCGACCAACGTGGCTGGACTTCGTGTAACTATGTTCGGTGAAACACTCCTGTAGATTGTCGAATCCGCACTAATTTAAACTTGGAATGGCGTGTTTCGTTGTTAATCACAACTCCATCGTATTTGTTTCACTTTGAATGTAAAAAGGCTTCTGACCGCAAATTACCGATATTTGCAATGACTGATTAATAACGCCTTCTTCGTCGGAGGCTATCATGTAGGTATACAGAAGACTGCCGTTTCTCTTAGGAGCAACTTCGGAGAACGAACCCATTTAATTTTCAGAAGTGGAGCTTCCTTAGCAGTGTTAGTTTACTGTTAGGAAAATCCCTCGATCACTTAGGCGAACGTTATGTTCACTAGAGTTTTAAAATACATTTTCGAACTAGGGCAGAAACAAATTGAAGTTGTGAGCGAACAGAGGGTGAAATATGCATGGGCTGAAATTCCTCTAATACGGCACGCATATTCTTAATAATAACGTCTGTACTCCTGCAAATATTCGCTCTCCGTCTGATGACCTGTCGAGTAGATATGTCCAGACTGTGACTGACGGCGATCTACCCGTGTTTTAAATAATAACACAGCCCTTCGTTTTTATAACCGAGTCTGGCATTTTCGACAGCGGGAACTGACATTTTTGATGGAA